TGGGAAGCCTTTGTTTATGAAATGGTCACACTCTAAGAGGTGAGCTTCAGGAGTCTGAAATAACTTTGCTTCTGCACAAACTGTCTTCCCCAAGACCCCTGCCACCACCGGCCCCTCCCTCACTGTTCTGCTCAGCCCAGGCCTGGCCCCAGAGTTTGTCACTCCTGCTCCTTCCCCAAGTCTCTCCACTTGGCCTTGGGATTGGAAGGTTTCTTCTGAAACATCCAAGCTGATTATGTCACTCTCCTACGTCACACTGCCAGGGGGCCCTGTGGCGTGTAGGCTACAGTCTACAAATCTGGACATAGACTTTGCGTGGAGCGGCACTCCGTCAGTGCCGTGTTCATGAGACAAAGGGAAGTGAGCGCACTGGAGGGCCGGAGAGTCCTGAGTGGGGGGCGCACTTGGGTGCTGTGTTGGGAGACTCCCCCCGCCCCTCTTCCCCCTGTGCTTTGTTGGTACTCGGATGGAGGGTAATGTGGAGGGGACATTCATGGTCACGTCCCCACTTCCATACTGGCCACTGCCCCTGATCTGTCCTGGGAGGAATGCACACACAGCCAGGTGCACACACCCATATCCACACACCATCTATTTTCCTGTCTGTCTATCGTCTAGTTAGCTAGCTATCCTCTACCATCTCTATCATATCTGTCTGTCTGTCTATCCATCATCATCATCTAGCTAGCTATCGTCTGTCTCTATGTATCTGGGTATGTATGTATATATCCATCCGGCAACTAGCTATTATTTGTCAATCACCTAGCTATCTGTCACCTGTCCATCATATCTATATTATCTGTGTACCCATCATTTCTATCTTTATTATCTGTCAGCTATCTTCTAACAGCTGTCATCATTTACCTTGCTGTCATGTATCCATCTATTATCTATGTATCTAAGCATGTATGTATGTATCCATCATGCAGCTAGCTAGCTAGTTAGCATCTTTCGGTCAGCTGTCATATATCCATCATATCTAGCTTTATTATATATTTTTCTATTTCTTCTATCACCTGACTAGTTAGTTATTGTCTGTCTATGTCATCACTGCACATTTGCAAAGTTGTTCCTGCTCCTATGCTCCACGTCAGCAGCTGCTGACCAACTCTTACCAACCACAGGGATGCTCGCTGCAGGCCCTGTGAGACTCACCCTCTTCTGGCCCCCGAGTCCCCTTCCTATGCTACTCACCGTGGCTTCCAAACACCACGATCAATCTGTCTGTCTGCCTTTCTCTGCAATTAGGACATCTCACAAGGACAGGATCGTGCATGGGTTCACGGGTGGACATTTTGCACATGGATGCTGCACGCTGAGCTGCAAACACTTAACTTCCCGGTCAACTGTCCTGGGAGGCCCCCCCCCTCTCCTCCCCTTCCCTCCCCTCCCTCTCTCCCCAGGTTCCTGCTTCTGCTCCAGGGAGCAAGTTCCTTCTCCCTCTCAGGGAGGCCCGAAGGCGACACCTCCCATCCTTCTCCTGCCCTGGCCGCCACTGGGCTCCACGAGAGGGGAGTCTGTTGATACATGCTGACATGGTCCTACTAGATTCTTATTTTAAAATATTATTTATTCATTTGAAAGGCAGAGTTAGAGAGAGATTTCTTCCATTCACTGTTTGTCCCCAAATGGCTGCAGTGGTGGAGGCTGGGCCAGGCTGAAGCCAGGAACTAGGAACTCCATCTGGGTCTCCCACATGCATGGTAGGAGCCCAGGAACTTGGGCCATCCGCCGCTGCTTTCCCAGGTGCATTAGCAGGGAGCTGGATTGGAAGTGGAACAGCCAGGAATCGAACGAGTGCTCATATGAGATACTGGCATCATGAGTGGCAGCTTCCCCCTCTACACCGCAGTGCAGGCCCCTGGATTTTCATTTCTCATTTTAATTATGCTTTATTATATTCAGAAGTATGCGGTTTCAAAGAGCACAGTCTTGATTCAAAACCGAAAAGATTATCTTGAAAGAGATTATGTTATCTCCAGTAAAGAGAGACTATGGCTTTGTGCATGTGCACATGTATTCAAACCCTACGCCAAGCCCCAGAAGAACTGCTCTTTGGATACTCACTTCAAATTCTCCACAGAATCGTCTCTGCCGTGGCCGGGGTGGGCAGGAGCCGGCCCGGGTTCCCAGTTCTTCAAGGGTGATGCCTTCCGGGGCAGAGCACCAGGAGCGTCATGGAAACCGGTGGGGGAGAACGCTTCCCCCAGCATCAGCGAGGTCCCTTCCCACACAAGAGATTCGTTCACTCTTGACAAGCTCAGCGTGGGCGACAGACCTGCCATCTTTGCTGGCTTTCCATTTGGAAAGGATGGGCCCAGATGTGATCCTAAACCCGAAGTGACAGCTAACCACAGGGAGCCTCAACTGAAGCTGTTTCACATTGCCAGCGGAGTGTATGTTCGTGTGCTTTGAAACCCAGCTCAGAAGACCGAGTGAATGTTCTAGAAAATCAGGGCACTGAGTCCAGACTCCCCCTCCCCCTCGTCACAGGACAGGTGCTGTCTTTCAGGGGTTCGCAAACTGTGCTTGGAATCACCTGGCAAGCTTCCACGAGGCAGAACCACAGGCCACGTTGCAGATCAGAAGTGCTTGTAGGGGGACTTGGTGCCGCTGGCTGTGAAACCCCCCAGGTGACTCCCGTGTGTAGCCCAGACGAGGCCCGGGCTGGAGCAGGGTCTTCTTGGGTTCCAGGCCCGGTCTCCCCAGATTTATATGGGTGCTGATGGTGAGGGGCGTCTGAACTGCTCTCACCTCCCAGACTCCACCGCTCTTGCTGGCTGCCTGTGTGTGGCTGGGAAAAATCCAGACGTGCCGGAGCTCGGGGCCCTCCCTAGATCCACTGGCCCAGCATCCCTGAGCCCCGGGGAAGACTCTGCTTGGGCATGCAAGTCCTCAACAACCTTCTTGTTGTCAGTTTTAAGATTCCAAGAAGTGTGATTGAAATGGGCTGGTTACAGTAAGGAGGAAAGGAAAGTGAATAACAGCCAGCTCCTCCCTAATCATTGCTGATGGCTTCCAGCATCTTGAATATCCCCAGTGTTGAGAAACATGGTTGGGCCGGGGGTGCTCTCGGGAGGGCGTGCGGTCAGCACACACAGCCTGGTCTGGCAGCTGGAACCTTCGTTTCAATAAAGGCCTCAACCTATGTCCTCAAACGAGGCTGAGCTTGCTCTTTAGGGACCTGGAGTGGAGCTGGCCCAGACGAACAGGAGACAGCTGAATGTAAGAGGCGCCTGGTCGCCTCAGCTCTGGTCAAAGCGGCCCGCCGACACCCTTGTTGCTTTGCTAATGGCCTCAGGGGGGCAGTAGAGCCCAAGGCTAGACTGAGACGCACACCTTAGTTACCTCCTTAGCCGGTGCAGCTGCAACCTGCGGTGCCGCCATCCCTTATGGGCGCTGGTTCCTGTCCTGGCTGTTCTGTTTCTGATTCGGCTCCCTGCTAATGGCCTGGGAAATCGGTGGAAGACAGTCCAAGTGCTTGGGCCCCTGCACCCACGTGGGAGACCCAGATGAAGCTCCTGGCTCTTGGTTTCAGCTTGGCTCAGCTCTGGCTGTTGTAGCCATCTGGGGAGCGAACCAGCAGACAGATCTCTGACTCTTCTACTCTCTCTGTAATGCTGACTTTCAAATAAATAAGTACATAATTTTTTTTAAAAAAAAAGTAAGTCCCTGAAACAGGGCAGAATCTGTGACACAACGTATGATCACACTAGGTAGTAACAAGATGCAAACAACTGGAAATAAGACTTAATAAAAATGCTTACATAAAAGGTGAAGGAAATGCAGGTCTTATATAAAAATATGTATGAATAATGTGTGGGATATGACAGATATATCTACACTTGGACTGTGTTGTGGAAAAATATAAGCATGGATTTTATAGTGAATTTGGTTTCACAGCAATGAAGCTGGGGGCCAGCATGGTGGTACAGAGAGTAAAGCTGGTGCCTTCGAGGCCAGTATCTCATACGGGTGCCGGTTTGAGTCCCGGCTGCTCCGCTTCCAATCTGCTCCCTGCTAATGGCCAGAGAGAGTAATGGAAGATGGCCCAAGCAGTTGGGTCATGGGAGACACAGATGAGGCTCCTGGCTTCTGGCTTTGGCCTCGCCTAGCCCTGGCAGTTATGGCCATCTGGGGCGGGGGGGGGGGAGTGAACCAGCGGATGGAAGATCTCTGTCTCTGCCTCTCCCTCTCTCTCTCTTTCAAATAAATAAATAAACCATAAAAAAGGAAAGCAAAGCAATGGAGCCATGGAAATGCTTGCACAGTTTTGCCCCTTCCCTTTGCCCTCCCCCCTGCCTGCGCCTCCACTGCTCCTGCTCTGGGACGTGGGCGTTAGCAAAGCGCCAGGAAGGGCATTAGGTCCACATCTCCACTTCCGGCTGCCCAGCCTTGTGCCCTCACTAGAAGGGTTAACACTTGAAAGCTGTGTTCCTCTGTTGGGTTTTCTCCCTCTGATGGAAAATAAATGCGTAGTTTAATTGTAGCGGTGGAATGCAGAATCCCCGGATTCCAATGTCCGCAGAATCCTCCTCGCTTTGTTCGGGCATGCATGTAACCCTTCCGTGATGGGGGGCACCTTCAGCCAGGCTTCCGGGAATGGACTCGAAGCCTGAAGGTTGGGGTAAATTCAAGCTCTGCGGCGTAAGGACTGGGTGGTGGGAGAAGGTGGGATTGAGCTCTGAAAGCTGCCTACGCCTGGGAGGGATTTTCTCCTTGTTAACTCCAGGCTCAGTCGGGGGACGGGGCAGGGAGCAGGGAGCATGCGCACTTAGACCGACCATAGAAACAGGTGCCTTTCAGTCTTCCTATGGCGGCTCCCTTTCGTGGTGATCTCCCTTGTCCTGGGCCCCTTCCCTCTTCTCTGACCCCAGCCCTTCCTGATTGATCCCACCCTTTTCTCTAAGAGCTGGAAGGCAGTCCATCAAGTATGTGGAGGGAGAAGCTGTCCCTGTTTGTGCCTGAGTGAGTGCAAACAGAGGGGCACCACACATTGATAACATTTGATCGTCCTTTATTGCCCGCGGTAGAGAGCGGGCTCCTATCCTAAAGAGCTCTCGACCCCGAAGCTCAAAGCAACAGGGTTTATAAAGGCAAAACCTACAAGCCAGGGGAGGGGAATGCGTGGTTACTAAGGCCTTTGTGAAACTAATTACAATCTTGACAATAGACAAATTACGATCTTAATCCAGGTGCAGCGTACCTGTTTTAAGCTTGAGTGTGTCGCTCCCCCTCTTCGTGGAGGAACGACACAGGACCCTGCGCTGTTCTTTCGTCTGCTCGGCCCTCCCCGGGTTTGCTGCTGGTTCTTCCCGGGTTGGCTACTATCCCTTCCACCTCCGTGGAAGGGCAGTTCCCCCTGGCCACATTCCCCACTTCCGCAGGGGAGCGGCACACCGCCGGCCGGCTTTCTCGGGGGCTGCACGGGTTCCCTTAGATGTTCCCCATAGATGTTCCTGGTGCATGCCGTCTCTCTCCTCCTTTATAGTCCTCCTCCGCCAATCCCAACTCGGCTGCCCACACGCCGAGTACGCCGCTCTCCAATCAGGAGCAAGTCCTACAGTTTATTGGTTGAACTGGAGGCAGCTGTGCGGAAGCTGTTTACTTCTCTCCCAGCGCCATATTGTGGGAGAGCAGATGCATAGAATAAGTCTTAATTCCAGTAACTTAGTCCAGTCCGGGCTGCTCCCCACAGGAGAGCAGATGCATAGAATAAGTCTTAATTCCAGTAACTTAGTCCAGTCCGGGCTGCTCCCCACAGGAGAGCAGATGCATAGAATAAGTCTTAATTCCAGTAACTTAGTCCAGTCCGGATTGCTCCCCACAGAGTGATCCTGCTAGGGAGTTTCTCTGTTCTGCCAAGTGGGATGCAGGGTTAGGTTATTGTCTGAGTTTTAGACCCTAGTTTCGGATCAGAGTCTCACGGTGAGGGGTGCTTTCTCTAGGTGGAGTCTCGGGTGCTCTAACTGTCCAGGTGTCACTTCATCCCGCTCGCTAGATCCAGCTGCCCTGTCCTCTGCTCATGTCATGTGTGTCCCAGTGGGGCTGTGGCTGCCTCTAGCACCTGCCGCCCGGGACCTGCTCTGAAGGTGAGCTTGCAGCAGACCAAATCCCAGCAGGTTGGGGGCCGGCGCTGCAGCACAGTGAGTTAAGTCGTCTCCTGCAGATCAGGTATCACATGGGCACCGGTTTGAGTCCCAGCTGCTTCACCTCTGATCCAGCTCCCTGCTAATGTGCCTAGGAATACAGTGGAAGATGACCCAAATACTCGGGCTCCTGCCATCCATGTGGGAGACTCCAGGCTCCTGGCTTCCGCCTGGCCCAGCCCTGGCTTTTGTAGCCATTTGGGGAGTGAACCAGTGGATGAATGATCTCTTTCTCTCTGTGTGTAACTCTGCCTTTCAAATAAATGAGTAAATCTTTTTCATTTATTTGAAAGGCAGAGTTATACAGAGAGAGGTCTTTCATCCATTGGTTCACTCCCCAACTGGCCACAATGGCAGGAGCTGTGCCGTTCCGAAGCCAGGAGCTTCTTCCGGGTCTCCCACGCGGGAGCAAGAGCCCAAGGACTAAGTCTTAAAACCAGCATGTTGCATATGGTGACCGTGACCCAGGCAGGTCACCGGTGCAGGGAATGACTGTTCCTTCTCGGGACACGTAGGAGATGCAAGCACAGAAACCTAAATGCCTTTGTTGCCATCACGGCAAGGAGAGCCACGTTTCTGGGAGGGATTTCTGTATGCAAGAAAAGCAGCCTAGTTAGCAACCAGCTGCACCTCCTGCACCACGTGTCAATCACTCGGGACTGCGGGTGAACCACGGGCCCTGATGTGGCAGGTCTGCTTCAAGTGCCGACTCAGGCAGCTGTCTTAACACCGAGACGCGTCTGCAGGGCATGTCACCTCTTTCACTGGAATGGAATGAAATTCGCAATTGACGACTTTTCTGTTCATTTATTCAAAAACTCTGTTCTCAGAGGTAGCATCTTTAAATCTCCTTGGCTAATTGTTTTAGGAAAAGTATCAACTTTAAAACATACTCAAAAGGCAACATAGTTCTCTCTCTTTCCCCAAACAGCTGCTTATAAAATGCTTTGACAGTTTTATGTGCTGTTGTCCAAATGCACACTTAATGGAGAGATAATCAGTTCGCTTTAGGAGGCAGTTTTAATAGATGCATTTTTTTTCTTCCAGGCAGTTTGTGATTTTTATATCCATAAGAACCCCCACCCACATGAAGATGTACAAAAGTTTTTTAACTTGACCCAGAGGCCTGGATCACTTCCATCCATTGCTTCCTGTTGACAGCTACCATGCACAGGTTTCACAGTAGCACCTCTTACTCTTCTGACACCTTAATCCCCTGAGAGGTTCGCACCCCTTCGTGTCTCCTCGCCTGCTTTGTACTCACAGGGCTTTTGCCACCCCCAAGTTCAAAACCATTTCTGATGTGGACAAAATCAGATAAGCAACTGGAAAGCAAACCTAACCAAAACCAAAACCAAATGAATAATCGTCATATAATCATAAAGGCATCCTAACCCTCCCTTTGAAACGGGTTGGTCCCTTAGTGTTTGGGGTTTGTTAGGAGAAGGCATCGGGAAAGGTGTCTGAAGTCCCACCTCTCTGAAAGGCAGAGCCTGGTAAATTGCACTTTTGTGGCTTTTAAAGCCCCCGGCAGCTTGTTTCCGAACGAATGTGCCTCTTGCCCCTTTGCCTACTGATAGTGCAATCCAGAAAATGACACCCACTGCGGTGTGCCCCGGGCACAGGCGGATCTGAGTCATTCTGACTTCTCTCGCCTCTCTGGGGCCAGTTTGCTCAACACTTGCAAAGCCTTGGTTTTTATTTAATCATGTAATCAACCCCCACTTACATTGCAGCTGGGACCTAAAGTCTGTTCCCAGACCTCAGACTCAGGCCTGGGTAAATCTGGTGCTCCCAAGCCTCCTGGAGCCCCCTCATTCCAGCTGGGCTGGCAAGGGCCACCTGGAAGACAGCAGCACTCAGAGAGAGGCAGCCAGCGTTCAAGTTCAGGAAACCAGATTCATCCACTCACTCCAGCCCCACGTCTGGGAACTAAACCTTGCGAGCTTGATTTCTTTTTCTTTTCTTTTCTTTCTTTCTTTTTTAAGATTTGTTTATTTATTTGAAAGGCAGAATTACACAAAGGCAGAGGCAGAGAGAAAGAGAGAGGTCTTCCATCCACTGGTTCACTTCCCAGATGGTTGCAATGGCCGGAGTTGCACCGATCCAAAGCCAGGAGCCAGGAGCTTCTTCCGGGTCTCCCATGTGGGTGCAGGGGCCCAAGGACTTGGGCCATCTTCCACTGCTTTCCCAGGCCACAGCAGTGACCTGGATCAGAAGTGGAACAGCCAGGACTCAGCGAACCGGCGTCCACATGGGATGCCAGCACTGCAGGTGGTAGCTTTATCCACTATGGCACAGTGCCGGCCCCACAAGCATAATTTCTCTCCAAGGGCTCCTCCCTCACTTCTCTCCTCTTCACCTTCCGCCCAAGCCCAGCCCACGTTCTGTGGACTTGGTGCCCCGTGTGCACAGGTGCTCCCCCCTTCCCATAGCCGGTGCCTCTGTACTAGCAGAGGCCGGCCTCACTCTGACCTGACGCTTGTTGGTCTCCTGGGCCTCAGAGCTCACCTTTCCGGTTGTGCTTTGTCCAGGAACTAAGCCTTCTGTAACTTGGGCTGGGCCGCTCCCTGCTCTGCTGGGAGCAATGCTATGATGGAGCAATGCTATAGAGCTTCCCCACCATCCAGCCAGGTCCGTCCTCACCACCCCCACCCCCACCCCCGACCCCCCAACCAGCTGCAAGTCAGCCCACCAGCCAGCCTGGCCCACACAGCGTCCACAGCACAGCTTCCCTCTCCTCCAGAGGCGCGGGATCCGCCCTGACACCCTGCCCCCTGGGGACACCTTCCCCGCCCTGCCGGCCACAGGCACTCCCCAGGCCCTGCAGGCTGAGGATCTTCCTAGCCGAGGAAGTCACATGTGGATGACACCATTTCTTACCTAATCGCATTCACGTCTTTTCTCCCCGTGGCAAGATCAAGGCCTGTTTTAAGCACATTTACACTCTGCCTTGCACAGCCAATGTCTGGATTAAGTTTCTTTCTGCTGTTCAGCTGACCCAACTCAAGGATCAGCAGCTCTTCGATGTGTGTTTTCTAATGAGCTTTTGCAGTGAAGAGAGTTTGCCAATAAGCTGTGTGTGTGGAGGGGAGAACACAGGTTGCTGTTTCATCAGCATACATTGCTTTGGCTTTCGAGAATGGACGGGTGTAAAAGACATCACAAGACTTCACACAATGCCGGATAGATGGCTCCGTCTTGGGCCCTCTATGACAATACCTTCCTTTTGAAAAACACCTGCTCCCACCCGATCTGTGTACACCAATGGACTCCCACGCCTTGGCAGTCCAGGTCACAGGCCAACAGAGATCTCCTGCTCCCCGGTGGATCGGGTGTACACTGAGCTCGCCGGCTCCGGAGTCTCCCGCGGGAGGAGCGGGCAGTGTTTGCAGAGGCGTTTGGCGACGTGCTTCCGGAAAAACGCGGAGAGGTAGCTCCGGAACTTCTCCCCGACGAAGGCGTAGACCACGGGGTTGATGCAGCAGTGTGTCATGCCCAGCGTCTCCGTCACCTGCATGGCTCGGTCCAGTCTGTTGGAGCTGCTGCAGTTATTCAGGCCGAAGAACTCCTGGAAGGTGTTCAGGAGGAGGACGACGTTGTAGGGCGCCCAGAAGAGGAAGTAAACCACCATGATGGCGAAGATGAGCCGCACGGCCCTGTGCCTCCTCTTCTCGTTCCGACACCGCAGCAGGGTTTTCAGGATCCCCGAGTAGCACACGATCATGACCAGCAGCGGCAGGACCAGGCTCAAGATGTTCCTCATGATGGTGTGGAAATTCTTCCAAAATTGATACTGACTGGCCGGAAAATGAGGGCTGCACGAACACCGAAAACCTTCTTTTTGAGATCTGGTAAAGATGATGTCTGGGAGAGACACCAAGATGGCCGCCACCCAGGTGACCCCGCTTGTCACCACCCCAAAGGTGACCGTCCTGGCTTTTAAGGCAAACACGGCGTGGACGATAGCCAGGTACCTGTCGATGGTCAGGAGGATGATGAAGAAGATTCCACCGAAATAGCCCATGTGATACATCCCCGTGAACACCTTGCACATGGCACCTCCGAAGTCCCACTCGGCGGCGGCGTAGTGAGCCCACAGCGGGAGGGTGAGCAGGAAGAGCAGGTCGGAGATGGCCAGGTTGAGCAGGTAGATGTCAGTCATGCTCTTCAGCTTCTTGCAGGTGATCAGGATGAGGACGACCAGCAGGTTGCCCACGAAGCCGAAAATGAACACGAGCGAATACAGTGGGGGCAGGAGCCGGGCTGCCACCTGCTTCACGTCGATTTTTTGGCAGGGCTCTGACATCCCATAATCGATGTCGTAGAGGGCAGTGGACATTGAATAATCCATCTGGCTTGATGCTGTGACAAAAGAAAGGAGACACTTCGTAAAGTGCTCGGACACCCCTGGTGGCCCACCATGGACGGCAGCTGTCCTAGATGTGAACAGAGCTCCAGTCTGATGACCAGCTTTCTGCATTTCCCTTTGGGGGCCCAGCAGTGACGTCATGTAGTAAAGGGCAAGTTTCCTGCTAACTTCTCTGCTCAGCAGGAGGAGCTAGAACTCGTGTGTGCACCGTGTCACCACGCAGAACCTCGTTTCCTAGAGCTACATGGAGTCGAAGCTATGACAGCAATTTTAAGAGACGGTGTCAGACACAGTGCACCTTGCGGCCTTACAGCTTGTATTGAAGGTGCCGCTCTCTAGAGTGAACCCACAAAGGACACGCCATGGTGAGGGGGCCAGGAATAATCAAGAGGTGCCATGGGCACGTGTTGCCTGCCAAGCCCTGCACACCCATCCATTCACTGAGCCCTCAACACAGCCTCCCGAGGCAGGCAATGTAGTTCCCATTTCTCAGACAAGAACCCCACGCATGAGAGGATGAGTAAGTTGCCCAGAGCCATGCAACTGGGAAGCAGCTGGTTCTGAACACAGGCAGCCTGCACCATCACCCACCGCCTACCCTGTTCCTCATTGCTTGGTAGAAGAACTAATTAGCAGGACAGACCCTCAACCTGGTGCTTTGCTGTGGTCAGAAAGAGATGGACTGATGCGCAAGTCCTCCAAGAAGGTCCCAGAGCCAGCAGCCAACTCTGAATGCCAGGCTGCCCTGCTCACCCTGGCTTTGAGCTTGGGTTGGGAGCCCCGAGTTACCATGGTGAAGAGCTCCCTCACTAACCCAAGAAATGGCCAAGTACAAGATGATTCACCTTCTAGCCTTTCTAACGTGCCCAGTCTAGCCGAGTCCCACTGATGCAGCTGAGCGTTTTCTCAGACTCCCGGGAGGTACCTCAAAATAGGCAGCTGCAGAAGCACCCAGAAAAACCTCACCTTTAAGTTCTGAGCCAGAAAAATAATCAGACACTCAAGGTGCTGTGGGAATTATTTCCAAAATGCCAATTTCTTATTAATGTGGACAAATCGTAGGCTTTCCCCTGTTCTGGAGAAAACAAAAAGAGAACCAGACGCTGAGCTCATGTTAGAACTATCCCTGGAGAGGTTTTAGTTCTCCTTAGCTGGAGAAAATCTCTGCCAAGATTTTAGCCAAGCCCCATCTCTCCACAAATCTTTCTTCTGCGAGATAAGAGTTGTTTGCTCTAAGAGTAAGGTCTTTCATTCATTGTCTTGTTTTGGTCTTGGATGCTAGCAGACAGAAGCTCATTCTAAATTCTGATCCTTTCCTTATCTCAAAGATTATATTTTCAGATAGCTCTGTGAACACCTGGTATTTGCCCAACATCTGCTCTGGGTTTCCTGTAGGGGCTTTTATGCATCACACAAGCTGAGCTAACCAATGGGCCGAGTGACAGAGAAGTGACTTACCTCAGAGAGTTTCTTGTAGGGGGAGCGGATGCCTCAGTGCCTCTGGCCAGCTGAGCTGTGCACATCAAACATATAGAGAGCAAAAAGTAGGAAATGCAGTTTCTTTCGAAGAGGGGGGTGGAGTTATAAGAATAAGTGCATCGTAGAGGAAAAAGTCAGACAAGAGTTCTTCTTTTTGCGAAGCTGAACTTTCAATGGGCCAGACACGAGATCTCTGGTCTGAGCTGCCTGTGACTTCCTTCCTTGGACTGTTTCATTGCTGTGTTCTGCTCATCCATCTACAGGAGTCTCTTCAAAAACAGAGCAAAGGAAAGGCTATGACAGCCAGGAGAACACACACTTTCATGTGTGAGGGAGACGAAATTGCTGTCCGGGAGAAGCAAATGATGTACACATGACCTTGGGGCTCCTCCCTGCAAGGCTGAAAGGGTGAGAATTCGGATTCTCTTCATGCTGGCCCTAGGTTAAAGCCAGCTCAAAGCAACCCTAACTAAAGGGAATCCTATGGTTAACATGAACCCCATCGCATTTTATCTACGGGGGTCGCTCCTCCATGCCCATGCAGCACACACACACACACACACGCACACACACGTACACACACGCACATGCTCACAACTGAATCCTATTTTCTCTGGAAACTCAAACAACTGCTTGTCTAAGGGTTTTATCTGAAGGCTCATCTGTGAGCTAAGCTCGTTCCCCGTCTTTCTCTGGTGCGGCGTGTGGTGGGGCACATCAGGATCACCTTCACTCTGTGCACTGTTTTGGAGCCTCTGGATCCGCTGGCATCAAGGACAGAGCTCTTTCGGGTAGTGACAGAGGGTGACGGCCAAGCCCGGGAGTCAGGACAAGATCACGGGTGGTCATATCAGCCTCTCTCAGTGGTTGATGACTTATTTAAAAACCTCACTACTGACAACCGAGCTGAGAGTGCAGCCAGCCCTGGGCCACAGGAGTCCCTCTGTTCTCCCGTTAACTCAGCTACAGAGCAAGCAGCTGTTCCTGTGATCTACGAGAAGGCAGAGGAGACCCGAGACGGCGTGGTCTCAAGTCCCCAAGTCCATGGAGGCAGCCGAACACAGACGCTAAGCAAGCAGCCTCTGTAGTCAGACTGCCAAGCCGGAAATGGCTCTCCACCCTCACTTTTCTCATCTGTGTATTGGGCTGAATAATAATAGGCACTTCAAGGATCCATCAGGAGCGGTCTGTGAAGCAGCCACAGCCAGCGTTAGCACAAACTATACGTACAGGAAACACAAAACCCGGGCTGCTTGTTCAGCGATCTTTTCTAAGGATTTATTTTATTAACAATTTTGAAAGCTTGTAAGCTTATTTTCTTTTTATTTCCTAAAAAAATCAGTTCCCTGGGGTCCTTGTCTAGAGCAAACTCAAAGCTGAAAAGTATAGCTCATGGCTAGTGCTTGGAGAACAGGAAGAAATGGTTATTTGGAAAAAATCCCCAACAGTGCAGAAATAGCCCAGCAATCAACCAGGCCCTGGTGCAGGAGCGTCTGCCTGTGTCCCCACAGAGCTGGGTCGTGGGTAACAGCAGGGGCGGTGACTCCTCAAAGCATGCTCAGCTCACCCCACGTGTGCAGCTCGCAGGAGTGGTTAAGAACTGTGGGCATGTTCCTGGGTTGAAACCCCAGTTTCATTGTTTACTGTCTCTAAGCAAGTCATCGAATTTCTCAGAGCTTTAGGTTTCTTAGCTGCAAAAGGAAGGCTTTTTTATTTTTATTTTTTGACAGGTAGAGTTAGACAGAGAGAGAGAGAGACAGAGAGAAAGGTCTTCCTTCCGTTGGTTCACCCCCCAAATGGCCGCTACGGCCGGTGCACTGCGCTGATCGGAAGCCAGGAGCCAGGTGCTTCCTCCTGGTCTCCCATGCAGGTGCAGGACCCAAGCACTTGGGCCATCCTCCACTGCACTCCTGGGCCACAGCAGAGAGCTGGCCTGGAAGAGGAGCAACCGGGACTAGAACCCAGGGTGCCAACAACGCAGGTGGAGGATTAGCCTAGTGAGCCATGGCGCCGGCCAAAAGGAGGGCTTTTTTTAAAAAACGCTCCAATCATGAACCTACCCCGCAAATCTGTGGTCAACACGGACCGATGCTCGCACAGGAAGCAGGGAAAGATAATGTGTACTTCAGAAAGAGCTTCCCAGATGGGTAACAAATCAGTTGATGGAAAACCTTGCAGAAAACGGGTGTCACAAACACTTGTTCAGTGTGCTCATGGTGACACCCTGGAGTACACCTCTCGGGGGCTGCTTGTGACCACTGCTGGTTCTCCCCAGGCAGAGCAGGGCTCAGCTGAGGTCTGTGTGCCCATCAGCAGGTGGCTGAGGACGTGAGGGCTCACCTCCAGAGGGCAATGTGGGGCAGCGGAGCAGGCTCCCAGACGCCCACACTGTGCCGCTGTCTCCCTGAGTGCCGAGCCGAGACTTCCCCCTCTCAGCTTACACATCCTCTTCTGCCGAGCGATGTGCCAGGCCTCGCCGCTTCCACGGCTCTGTGACCAGCTGGGTTTGCAAAGTCCCCGGCAGATGGGAAACAGGGTGAGGGTTCACGGTTGAGATGAGGGTTAGGAGGGTGTCACCCTCTTTAGAGTGGCTGGTCCAGGGAGGTGTTCCAGCCACCTCTTGGGATAGGGACCACTCCAAGGATGCCGGGGAAATGAGGGCCTTTGGGAAATTCTCCAGCATCTAATTTTACAAGAAGCTCCATTTTGGTTACAACAGCTAGTTGCTCGTCGGGCTGTGCCTTAGTGTCTCTTGGTCTCTGTTTCTTTTAGTACTTTGTCCTTCCCAATTTATAATTTTTTTTTGAAAGACTTATTTGAAAGGCAGAGTTGAGAGAGGTGGGGGGTATCTTTCATCCACTGGTTCACTCCCCAAATGGGCGCACTGGCCAGGGCTGGGCCAGGCAGAAGCCAGGAGCCAGGAACTCCATCTGGGTCTCCCACATGGATGGGAGGGGCCCAAGCCTTGAGCCATCTCCCACTGCTTTCCCAAGTGCATTAGCAGGGAGCGGGATCAGAAGGGAAGCAGCCAGGACTAGAGCCTGTGTTCATGGAAGATGCTGGCACCACAGGCAGCAGCTTCGTGCCCCACAGTGCTGGCCCCTCCTGATTTCTCGTTCTCATCCAAGTGGCATTCCAACTCCCACGGAAATGAGCTTCTGAGCAGTCCATCACTCTGGACCCGACGGCCGTACTGGGCGGTATCTCACGCTGCCCTTCTATGGACGCTGCTCCAAGTCTGGTGGCTGCACCCACGCCCGGGGTTGCTCTCTCCCTGCATGCACACCTCTGGGATGCACGCTCAGCACATCGCCAGCAGGATGGGAGGACATGGATTCTTGTCCTGTGCTTCAAAGGGCCAACTCCCTGCACACAGCAAGCCAGACCCTGCCTGGAGAGGGGCAGGGGCTTAGGCCTGCCTGGGGCTGCAGCTGACCCAGCCCACTAGCTGTCAAAAGGGGGAGGGGCTGTAAACAGCAAATGCACCTGTTTTCATGTTAAAAATGAATGTCTGGGGCCGGTGCTGTGACGCAGCGGGTTAAAGCCCTGGTCTGAAGCACCAGCATCCCATATGGGCGCAGGTTCTAGTGCCGGCTGCTCCACTTCCCATCCAGCTTTCTGTTATGGCCCAGGATAGCAGTAGAAGATGGCCCAAGTCCTTGGGCCCCTGCACCCACGTGGGAGACCTGGAAGAAGCTCCTGGCTCCTGGCTTCCGATTGGCGCAGCTCCAGCCGTTGGGGCCATCTTGGGAGTGAACCAGTGGATGGAAGAACTCTCTCTCTCTCTCTCTGCCCTCTCCCCCTCCCCCTCCCCCCTCCTCTCTCTGTGTATCTCTGACTTTCAAATAAATAAAATAAAAAAAAATGAATGTCTAACCATAACACCAGCATGTGCTCATTGTATGAGATTGGGACACACAATTAAGCATAGTCTTACAATCTCAAAACCATCCCTTTCAGCACACTATGTATTTTAATCCTGACCTTTTCCTAGGCACATTTTTTTAAAAATTGAGAAGTGGGGTAGGGGGAAAAGGCAGGTAGAGACAGACAGACACAGAGAGACAAGCACACACACACACACACACACTCACTCACACTGCTGGTTCACTTCCCAAATGCCCACCGGCTGGGGTAGGACCAGGCTAAAGCCAAGAGCTGGAAACTTAATCCAAGTCCCCCACATGAATGGCAGGAACCCAATTACTTGAGCCATCACTGCTGCCTCCCAAGGTCTGCATTAGCAGGAAGCCCAGCCCAGGCCCTCGCATGTGGGACGTGGGCATCTTAACCCCTAGACCATGCACCTGCTCCTCTTTGCACATTTTTTTCATTAATTGCTCCCCCGTGAATACCACTCTGTATGCTGCAGCTTTTTTTCTTTGCTAAAGATTACAGTGTAAGCACTTCCCCATGCTATTAAAAAGTCTTTATGAATATGGTTCTCTCACTGATGTTGTTGCCAAGATGAAACCTACATGCAGCCACGTGCCCTGGTCTTAGTTGTACAGTGTGATGAGTTTCATATGCACACACCTGGGTTAGCACCACCGAGAACAAGCGACACTTACCAAGATAAGGGGCACTGCGACTTCATGTAGATTAAATGAGCCTGTTCTTTAATTCCACATACACGGAAGCATAGGTTTCATCCTCTCTCCTGTCTGGCTTCTTGCATTCGCTGCCGTCCATCAGCCGGCATCCCCAGACCTCTGGGCTCTCGCCAGTGCTCACTGCGTGGATGCTGCTGACTGACTGTCACTCCCAGCGCTCTGACGCTGTGTCATGCTGGAGGCCTCTCGCGTCTCACCAGGAGGTCCAGAGAGTCCTCCACGGTCCCCACAGAAACAGGAAGACGCCTTCCCCTCCTCCAGTGTCACACTCTGTCACCCGCGTGCCTGGACAATGACGTGCAGGGTTCTGTGGCTCCCAACATCCCTGGTGGAGATGGCTCCTCTCCTTTTGCGTCAGACACCTGCCATGGCAGGTGGGGTTGGGAGGTCACCATACTGTTCTCTCCACTCCGTTCTCTGTCTCGGTCCCTTGCCAGTATACTCCTGCTTCCAACCCACATAGTGTAACGGAAATGAGGCCGCAACCAGGGACAAAGGAAGCGAAGTGGACCTCCCGACGTGAAGCTGCTGTGTGCGGTTATCTTGTCTAGGGAGGGAGATGTCCTAAGTTCTGCTTCTGTACCTCCAGTCATAAATCTGTCTTATAAGCCTCCCCCAGTATCTCTTTTATAAACATACCGGACCCACCGACCATTGGAAGTGTGGCTAAGGCATGATGCTGATGAACCTGCAAGAATTGTAAGTAACTTGGGATCGTTGCTTAGTT